AACTCTGTCGACTCTAATAATTTTTATGCATAATCTAGACATGTTGAGCTTTTCAGAAAGTTCAAAACCAAATCAATTGGAGCTCTGTAGCTTGAGTTAATTATTTTTCTAAATGAAGGGTCAGAATCTGTCATGAAAACAGAGCAACTTAGAGAAATGTATTAAATGTATCAGTTGGTCCAATTAGAGTTCTGCTTCTTCTTTTTTTTTTCTATAGATGGTTCACTAAAGTTTATAATGAGCTAAGAATGAGATCAAGATCAGTTTTGTAGAATTAGTTATGGATTTTTGAAGTTAAGGAACATAATTTTAGAAACAGAGCAGTTTTGGGAAACAAATAAACTGTACTGTTTGGTGCAAACAAAGGTTAAAAATGTATTTCTATCTTGTAAAGGACTTCATAAGATTTAAATTTAATTTTAGATCATCTTGATTAGAATTTTCTAGATTTAGTTATGATTTTTTGAGGTTTAGCAAAAATTCTGGACTACACAATTGAGCAATAACCTGATCTGATTTGTGAATTTTAATTTATGAACTTAAATTTCTGTTTCGCTTGAACAATATCGCTTCTGATTTAATAATGAAAGTTAAGGAGAGGTCTTGACAAAAATTGTGATGTAGCATCACTTTTCATTGTTCTTCTATTAATGTGCCCCTTTTTATCATGAAAGGGAAAAAATCAAAATAAACTAAGAGGAATGAAAGTCATCTCTATACCTTTGTAACTTCACAAATGGCTCCTTTTATTTCACACATTGTAACATATGCCCGCTCACAACTTTACATTCCTACGCCTTTCCCTCGTCCACTGTTTTTTCTCCCCTTGTGGCCTCCTCTCTTCCTTTTTATAGACTCAATTAAGGTTGTCCTTCATCAATGAGCTCATCAAAACAAAATTGCAAAATCATGTTAATTGTTATTTGACTTTTCAAATTAAATTAGATTTTCAAATTTTTCCTTAATTAAATCAAATTCCAATCATTCCATAATCACCTCAAATCAAAATTTGATTAATTTAACTTTTCAATTTTTCTTATTTTCCCTAAATTAAGTCAAATTCAATGGGAACATGATTGAGGGGATTTGGAGTCAAAAAAAAGAAAGATTGTTATTATTATTTAAAATCCCAAAAACCCTTTTTATTTATTTTATTAAAATTTTTTATATATTTTCAATTTATATTTAAAAGTCTGGATAAAATATAATATTCACAAAAACTTTTAGCATTTCTTCCTTATAATCAAAGTTGAAAGAAAAAGAGTTATCAATTTTATTGTGGACTTCCAACCAAGCAGTCTTTCCCAATAAGGTATTGTTTGGTTAGGAGGGGAGCCCCTTCCCCTCCCCTTGTCCCATCCAAACAAGGGGAGGGGAGCCCTTATTTGGTTAGGTGAAGGAGAGAGAAAATTTTTAAAATTTTCCCTTTCTTTTCCTCCAAAACCTCCCCCCTAAGGGTCTGTTTGGCTCCAGAGAGGGAAGGGGAGTGGGGGAGGTGAGGGGAGAGGAGGGAAGCTCTCCCCCAATTTAGAAGGGAGACTTTAGAGGGGAGGGGAGGAAAAATTTTAAAAATTTTCCCTCTCCTCCTCCTAATCAAAGGAGGGGAGGGGAGGGGAGGGGCTCCCCTCCCCCCAACCAAATAGGGCCTAAATTGGGGGGCAGCCCCCCCTCCCCTTCACCTTTCCTCACAACCAAATAGGGCCTAAATTGGGGGGCAGCCCCCCCTCCCCTTCACCTTTCCTCACCATTCTTTCCCTCCATTTTCTTCAAACCAAACAGAGCTTAAGACGTCACAATCTCCATCATTAAAATGTGCTTTTCTCCACTTAATCTTCACATTACCTATGTTGCTGCCAGTTGCAATGTTCTAGCTATCAATTTTTGTCATCCCGAACCAACCCTAATCTCTTGAAAAACAGCCAAGTTTTCCTCAACACAACAAAGAGATCAGTTGTCCACAACGACACTTAACAAGAAGTAGAAAAAATGAAGAGAAAATAATAATAAAAGATTATTGAAGAAAATTTATATCAATCAAAGATTTATTGTTAATAAAATTTAAATAAATTATTATTAATTTAAAATAAATTATTATTAAAATTTGAATAGATACTTATTAATAAAAGATTTATTTAAATTACAAATATTTATTTAAATTTTAATAATAAATAATTTTTAACTGATATAAATTTTGTTTAGCAATATTTTGTTGATATTTCTTAAAAATGAAACGAGAAAAAGAGAGCAAGGATGTAAAGCTGATGCCGCTGTGACTCGCGTGCGAAAATAACACACTTACAGGGGTGAAAGAAAGGCTCTCAAAGACAAGAGAAAGAACCTGCAATCACTGTGCCTGATTAAAAAAATCTATAAATGTAATAATTTAGTTAGTAGAGTTTTATTTTAATCATTCGTACCCCGAAAAAGTATTTTAAGTTGTCAATAATGAAAAATGTCTTTTTTAAAAAAAGTTCTTAATGTTCTATTCTTCCTCTTTGCCTAACATTCCAAACAAAACCTAGAATTGGATCATTAGATATAAATTTCTAGCACTCAACTTCATACCGTCAACAACATAATGGCCGACGCAAAAAAAAAAAAAAAAAAAAAAAAAGCGTGTCTTCCATTCTAGAACGCCATTGACCGTTGGAGGAAGGCGGGATTTTATTTTTTCACGGAAAAAAAAAAGGAGGAACTAAAAAACAATTCAAATAAGAGCTACGTGTCAACAAACCAACCTTGATTGTGACCAAAAGCACTGCAATTCAACCACGTGTTCCCCCTAGAGCTTCAACCCTCGCATGTGTGACAAAATAATGCTAATAATTAAACGTCGCTTCTAACGAAAATCTCAGGATTTTTAACTAGAATTTTATTATTTCTTATAATTTTTAACTAAAATTTCATTATCTCCTACCAAGTTTTTTTTTTTTTAAGTTTAGGACCATTCAAGTTAACTCTATTATTAAATTATTAAAGTCAATTACATTTTCCATTTTTTAATGCTATAATTTATTTTATTTTAATCCATCCTATAAACTAGAGAAAAGAGACAAGGACCGCATATTAAATCGGATACTTCTGGTGCAAAGAGTTATAATTTAAATTTAACTTCTCATAACTTAAAGTCAAATTATTATTATTATTATTATTATTATTATTATTATTCAATCACTTGAATAAATAAAAAAATTACACAGTCCAATCAAGCCACATAATTTAGCTTCCTACATAATTTATAGATTAGTGTATTAGCAAAGGTTAGATTTCATCTTTTTTTCCTCACGGAATCTTAAAAATAAGATATAATGCATAAATTGTGAAAACTACCCAAAAAAATCATATTTATATGAAATTGATGACACGGACTGACTCAAATAAAATTAATAATGTATAGACAATATTTTTTAAATAAAATAAAATAAAATATATAGATATGTAGAATTTTATAAATTTATAAATTGGTTGCTGCCCTCCAATTATATCCCTAATTTTGGATGGCATTAAATTCATTAAAAAATTTCTCTTTATTATTAACATTCTTAATTAAAAACAAGAGAATGGATAAATTGAATTCCATCTTTTCTACTAATCTTTTATATATATATATATATATATGAGTTCTTTTGATTTAATTCAAAATAAAGTTACAAAATTTTATTTAGGATTAAAGGATAAAAATATTTTAAAACTTTTCATAAAGAGAGGTTAGTATCATGAATTTTGTTTTAGAACAATATTATTTCAAAACATTAAAAAAGAGTGCAATTATGCCATTATTATTAACTTTAAAAAATGTTGGCTGTTAAATTTTTTTGGACTAAAATATTAATATGTGGCAAGTTTTCAATCATCATGGCCACTCCAATCATACTCTAATAAAAAGTTAAAGAATATCGGGTGTTCCTCGCAAAAAAAAAAAAAAAAAAAAAAAAACAGAAAAGAAAGAAAGAAAAGAAAAGAGGTTTTTAGATTTTTTTTTTTCATTTAATCCTTTTACTTATAATATTTATGACCTGTAAATAATATAACTTATGACATGTGTCATACACACACGACATAATATATCTATGTATGTACGACGAGAGAAAATATATTAACAATGAAAATGGATAAAATTTATTATATCCATCTATGTATAAGAGATCATACCTACTGAGTTTCATAAAAATTCACAAAATCCGTTGATTACATAGTCCCTCCAATATTTACTATAAAGATCGATTAATTATTTTACATAAATTAAGAAAATGATTAAAAATAGTTAAGTGACAAAAAGTTTTCTAACTTTTTTTAAAAAAATTACCTTTAATCAATTTGAGATAAATAATGAATGGATGATGAAAGCAGTGAAAGAAGAAATTTCTAAAAAAAGATAATTCATAGACATTTTTATAAAAAAAAAAAAAGATGTCGTGTATCGAGGACTTTGAGAATGTACTTTATAATTTTTTGGTCAAAAGAATGTACTTTATATTTTATTTTTCATTATTTTTAAAAATTTAAAAGTATAACCCCTGCCTATTAAAATTAATCCAAATCCTGCAAGGTGAGACTACTTTTACCTATGACAACCTCATGAATATCTTAAGGATATTTTTAATATTTTTATTTAACATGGTACACATTTTAGGATTAGAACCTAAAATTTCAAAATAAATTGATTGGACTTCTTCAATTTTTTTGGGCCAAAGACTTCTTCAATTAATAGAACCAAAATATTCATGGTATATTTCTACAAACACTCAGTTAACGAGCCCCAAAAAAGGATTAAAGGAAAAAGGAAAATGTTTTCTATTTTTAGTTATGTTTGTCTGTGTTTTTTTTTTTTTTTCCCCAACGTGTAATACTGTTACTAACATTCTAACAATTAGCGCGACAAATGAAAATGAGCTTCTTCTTGGGTGCTTCGCAGTCAATTCAATAAGCCGCCACCTCATTCATTCCAATTTGCTGACTCTTCCGTTTCAAATTTCTTCGAATTTACACTCAACCCCACTTTTCTCTCCCTATAAATGCCTCTCTTCCTTCCTTCTCTCTCTTCATCGCCGAACCCCAAACCCTCTCGTTCCTGTCCCTGCTCCGATTCTCGCCTATTTGCTCGCCTCAGATTTCCCACAATGAGATCGCTAAGACTCTTCGCCTTCCCGATTCTCAGTATTCTTCTCATGGCCTTCTCTTATCTCGGCCAAGCACAGGCACAGGATTTGGCTTCTTCTCCAGCACCTCCTCCTTCAAGCGATGGTTAGTTTCTTGTTTTCTGTCTTCTTTTTCTCACCTCTTTCTCGTCGATTTTCCTCTTTTAAGTGCTAAATCTGGGGACTTTCTGATTCTGTATTTGGGGATTGTGTTGCAGGCACTGCCGTTGATCAAGGAATTGCTTACTTTCTCATGGTGGTTGCGCTCGCTATCACGTACCTATTCCATTGATTTCGGATTATTTCGCTCCCCAGATTCATTTTGGAATACATATTTTTTTTTCCGAGGGAATTCCAATATTTTTGTATTGTAATTAGCAATAAAATTATGCTCTTGCAATAAAAAAAATTTTACCCTTACATCTGTCCGTAGCCAGACCACGCTACTCAATGCAATGCTTCTAAATATAATTTTAGGTTATTATGCCGGACAACGGACGTTGACGGAAGGAAAATTATTGGGTTGTGCTTTTAAATAAAATAATAAAATAATATCTGATTGGAACAGCTCAAGTCCACTTGGTTAGGGCATCGATTCGTGTCACCTTTCCAATGAGTAAGAATCCGAGAAGGAAGCCAGCAGAAATTGAACTGCGAGACATGCGCGTACAACTGGTCAAGCTTTACAATTCGTCAATGTTGAATGTCCTGGATTTTAAGTTTCTTTTTCCGAAAAACAAAAATTGATTTGGTCCTTTTAATTCATTTCGTTTAGGGAGAAGGATAAACAAATTTCAAAAAAATTAATTAATTTAAATTAAATTTCAAGTTTTAAACTCTAAAAATTTACAAATTTATCTTTTAATTTTATAACTGTATAGTAATGAATTTATAATTTATTTTTTAAAATTTTAATATGAAAAATTTATTTTTTCTGTTAAAATTTAAAATACAAGTTGTAAATTTATCATAATAAAATTACAAAATTAAAAGATTAAATTATAAATTTTAAAATTTAACATTTAAAACTTAACTTAAATCAATTGATTCTTTAGGATTTCTCTCTCATTCTTTTTTTGGTGAATTACTCCACGCTCAATGTCAGGAAGTTGTTATCATATAGCAGTATATTTGACCAAAAAAATATAGGGAGAGTTCTTCAAAAATTATTTGCATATAAGGAGTAATAACAATTTCCATTTAAAAATAATAAATTTATTTTTTATTTTAGTAACAATTCAACCTGTATTAATTTTTATTTGTAAGTAAATTTTTTGTTAAGTTCTTAGGTTTGATTCTCTCCAAAATATATATACATTTGTATTATCAATGATATACTTTTTTTGGGTACCTTTCAGAATTATAAGGGCACATCTATGAGCTTAGGATATCTCAAATGTGATTGTAAGTCGGCATTATCGTTTAATTCTTATATATGCTATTTTTCTAGGCAAAAGCAAAATGGGCAAACTAAATGTTATATGGTACGGAATTTAAAAGATATCAATTAGAATATCAAATGCTTCCTCTCCTTTTTCAGTGCATTGCCAAGTTGAACGCTTCAAAGCTAGTTGGATTGAGCCTTTCACTGATACTGGTGAACTACGTTACTAGGTTACAAGGTTTATTGGGCAAACATTTCTTCTAATGAAGTGTACTTGCTTCATGTCCAATTTGGACAGCTGGAATTTTATTAGGAGATAATGAAACTTTTGGTTATATAAGTTTGCATTAATTATTGATTTAATCTTTTAAGTTTATTTTTTCTTAATCTAATCCTTTATATTTTTTTAAGTCATTATGTCAATTTCCTACATTTTGAAATATAAATTGACCCTCAAATTAATTTGATATGTAAAGTATGGCAATAGTTTGACATGTATATATAGTTAAATGAAAATAAATTAGTTCTGATAAGTCATCTAATTTCCTTTTCTCCCTTCTTTTCACAAGCCATCAAGGGGGAGGAAATCATACTTGTGAAAATTGACTTGTCTTTGTTATGTAACATATGCATGTCAAATCATTAGCATATTTCATACATCATATTAATTTGAGGACCAATTTATATTTGAAAAGCTAAATGATTAGCCTAATAATTTAAAAAAAATATACAAGGTATTAAATTGATAAAAATTAAATCTGAAGAATCAAAGTGATAACTAAAAAAATTTAATAGACAAAAAGTTTCATTATATTTTTGTTATTATTTTTATTTTTAAATTTAAAACTATTATTTTTCTTAATAAGATGATAGTTCTAAGATTAATATTATATTGCATCTTGCTTCATTTAAAAAATATTTAAGAAACATCAAAATAATGAAATTTGGACCTTCTTCAAGTGGCTTTTCGCTAATAGAAAAATGTAAGTTAGGGAGGGATTTTAATGAGGGATGGTCTATTCCTCTTTAAATTATCAAAATAGCAAGAAAATTAGTGAGAGATATTAATTTCATAGCTTGACTTAAAATTAGTGAAAAAAAATAGTAAGAGACTGTCAATCCCTCTCTAAAATAAAATAATTAGCGAGGAAAATAGTGAGGGACTACTAATCCCTCTCTAGAATAAGACAATTAGCGAGAAAAATAGTGAGCGATTGCCAATCCCTCTCTAAAATAAGATAATTAATAAAGAATTTAGCGAGGGATTCTATCCCTAGCCAATTATTACAAAAAAAAAACTTTTGGCAATGACTTTGAATTATATATTTAATTATTTTTATTTAAAAATAAAAAATAAATTTAAAAATTAACTAAAATGTTCATAATAAAATTATTTAATAATTAAATTTTTCTTTATTTTAAGTTGATTTTCATTAATAAAATAATATTTTATTAAAAATATAATATAAAGAATAATTTAAGTAAAATATAAATATTTTTACATATTAATAATTGAAAAATAAAATTTAATATCTATATATGTGTGTATTTTTATAATATATTATTTGATATATTTATATAATTAAATAATATAGATTTAATTTCTTATATAATGATTGCATGTACCTTTTAGTTCAACTGACTAAAAAGGAGAGTATAAGGTTTAGAAAGTATGAGGTCAATAGTTCAAGTCTTGACTTTGGCATAAATATAATAAATATATAAAATGGTAAGGAGCAAATGACATGGTGCAAGGTAGATAGTGACATGTCATGAGTTGTTGCACATGTGGTAGGTGATGAGGCACGAGATATTAGGTGACATGACAGTTGACAAGGCACGAGATTGTTGGTGACATATCACAAGTTAACCTATATATGGTGAGTGATGTTGCATCACTATTTTTAAATATAGAAATATTTAATGAGAGATTAGCTAAGGACTAATTCCTCGCTAAATTATTGAATTTTAAATAGTATTAGTGATAGATTAGTTAAGGATTCAATCCCTTGCTAAATAGTGAGGAAAATATAATCTCTCGCTAAATTTAACGAGCCTTTTTTTAACTATGAATTTAGTGAGAAACAAAATCTCTCACTAAAATAAAATTTAGCTAGGGAAAATGGCATTTAGTAAATTTCATTTTTTTTAGTAGTGTTTAGGACATGTTTGGCTATAGATAGGAAAAATAAGAGTGAAAATAAATAATCTCTCTAGTCCAAAATATAAGCATTTTCCTTTAGTTAATCTTGGATCAAAATATAAGCAACCTAATACATATAAATTTTTTTCCATTTTTACCCCTTATATTTATTTACCTAGATTTTTGTGTAAATGTGTATCTTACTCATCATGGAGTGTATTGGATGAGAGAGAGAGAGAGAGAGAGAGAGTGTGTGTGTGTGTGTGTGTGTTTTTTTTTTTTTTATGAAAATGAGGACTTTATTCGTATGCAAAAAAATTGCTTATATTTTGGATCGGAAGGAGTATCAAATAAGCATGCTCTTCCTGTGATTCCATTATTCTTTAAAAAAAATTCCCAAAAAATGATGCAAGAAGTCCTTTAACCATTCTAGTCCCCCAAAAGAAAAATCCAAGCACACTCTTAGATCAAGTTCCACAAGGCAATATTGCTCCAAACAAAAGATTCTAATAGAGAAAACACAGTAATGATAATTAGGAGTTCTTTTTGGCCATGTCATGATGCAGTTTGGCACCTTCTTTATTTAACAAGGAAAGTAGGATCCACATAATCTAGGAAGAATACATTTGGTGGCTTAGTTTTTATTAAAAAAATAGAGAGAATTATTGTTGTTAATATTAACTGGTTAGGTTTCAGTTTAGCAAGTGAACTAATCCATTCTATTATTTCAATCCCAATGCCAAAAGTATTTTTTTTAATACAAGGCCATAGTAAAACTGTGTAAAAAGACCAGAAACAAAAATCAAGTCATGTTAGAAGCCAAAAGGCTACTACAATCCACAGGTGGTTTATCAAAAAAGGTAGTATCAAAATGGTCTCTTGAAGCCTTGTAGGCTAGAAGATCGGTGCACTGATTGACTTCTCTATAGACGTAATCAATGGTGATCTTTCAATTCCTCATAATGAGATTTCTGATATTCCTGATAGTTGCTGAAAGGGGATGGCTAGGATCAAAGTTACTATCAATAAGGGATAAAGCCTTTATAGAGTTAGTGTAAACATTCACTCTGTAAATCTTTGCGTCCTAGCACATGTTAAGTCCTTCTAGAATTTCCATAAGTTTGACTGTTGTGCTAGGTTGATAATTCATATTTTTAAAGAAACCCTTAATCCAACTACCCTTGTCATCTCTGATAAGCCCTTCACAAGCAGCTGCACCATTATGTTTAACGGAGCCATCAACATCCAGTCTAGCCTACCTTAGGAGGATTCCATCTAGCTTCATGCCTGTGTCAATTTTACTCAAAAGGTTAAGTTTGGATTGAAGTTTCATGTCATTGATAATTTGATGTGTGCTGGAGAAGGCAATGTCATTGTTCAAGCTAGTATTTTCAGAGTAGACTTTCTTACATCTAGCATTCCAAATGTTCCAACAAGCTTGTGCAAAAAGCTTCTTCCATGGTAATCTTCATGTAGATAGACTTCCTGCTTCATTTTTGGCATTCCATAATATCCAATCCTGCATGCGAAGAGAAAAGAAAATATTATATTTGGAAGGATTAACCAATTTTTCCCATACCTCCTTGGAGTCATAACAGTCTCATAAAATATGAATAGAAGAGTCAGAGAGTTACAACTAAGGGGGCAAGTATGATGCTGAATAGCATTCCTATTTGGGAGAGTATTGATTTGGAGTCGATCCTAGGTAGCTTTCCAAAAGAAGTATTTGATTTTTTCATAAGTAGGCCAGTTCTAAATTTTATGCCATATATCAAAGTGATCTTGGGTCTGGTGAGATTTAATTACCTTATAAGCAAATTTTATAGAGAAGTTGTCATCATTAGATGGCCTCCAGATAATAGTATCATTTTCATGATGGTTGTTAGGAGATTGCATAAGGACAATATGTTTAACAGCTTTCGGTTGAAGGCAATAATGAAGAATATCAAAATTCCAGCCACCAGTTGGCTTATAGAGATTAGAAACTCTAGCATGATGAATAAGATCGACATTGTGAAAAGCATAATTCACAAGAGGATCAGGCAGAGAAATCCATTTATATACCAAAAGGATGTTTTATCACCATTTCCTACTTTCCAACTAATATGAGACATGAATCTATACTAGATTTTGCATATGCTACTCCAAGTGTAGGAGCAAAAATTTGGTTTGACGACTATAAGGGTAGTAGGTTTTTTGCAATTATATTTATCGCATAAGACCTGAACTCACAGCCGATTCAGTTTAGTGATAAGCCGTCAGCAGAGTTTCATGATAAAGGTAATATTTTGATTTTTAAGCTTTTTGATGCCAAGACCCTCATCCTTTTTGTTAGAAGTGATGCATTCTCAAGAGAGAAGGTAGGGTTTCTTTAACCCATCAAATGAATCCCAAAAAAATTTTCTAGCAATTTTATCCAAATCTCCCAATACATTATCAGGTAAGAGCATAGTTTGCATGATGTAACTAGAAAAAGTCGAGAGAACAGATTTTATAAGAATAGATTTTTTGGCTATGTTGAGGTACTCTAGTTGGCCAAGTGAGAGTTCATCTTATCAATCAAAAGAGTAAAGTTTAGTTTAGAAATCTTCTCGTGAATAAGAGAAATTTTAAGGTATTTGCTAAGGTTTCCCGTGAGAGAAATTCCAGGATCTTCGCTAATTTGCAGTGATATGTTGGTGTTCATATTTTTAAAGCAGCAAAGCTTAGATTTGCTAGTATTGATTTTATATCTCAAAGCATTGCAAAATGTCAAAAGACATTGTTGGATGATTTGCGCTTGGGTAAGGGATAATTCTACAAAAAGCGACAAATCATCAGTAAAAAAAAAGATGAGAAATAGGGGGCCCATTAGGTGTTAGCC